AGATATTTCAGATTGCATTTTGATCATATTATCTTGCTTTAGTAAATTAAAGGAATCGGAAGCAAAAAATAGGGAGCTATTGGAAGAGATGGAAAGTTTGAAGAAAAAACTGGAAGAGAAATACAGAACAGATTCAGGTAATTAAAGTTACTGTGTCTTAACAGAGTTCTGACACCACCTGCAATGTTGCCTTTTAGCTAAGCCTGTTCTGCTTTGGGTTTTAGGTCTCAAACTTCCAGACTTTCAAGATTCCATTTTTGAATATTTCAACACCTCTCCTCTTGCACGTGATCTGACTTTCAGAGTGAGTTATTACATAAAATAACTATAAAATGTGATAGCTAAATTATATTTTTATTACATAAAAGTAATATTTGGGCACTGTATGCCACATTTGGATCTGGCATATTAGCCAAATTAGCATGATGCAGAATTGGATATTGAGTAGATGTCAGATTGCTTGGCATTTTGTAGGGAAGCTGGCACCTTTGGAAATATTCTCAGAAGTTCACATTAATTATTTCCCATTCTGGCTTCTTTCTTTAGGTTAATCTCAAACATTTGGCTGAATAATATATATTCAGGGTTTTTTGGAAAGGCTGGCACACCCTGTTACAAATAAGGGATTAAATGCTTTGCAGTTGGAAGATGCTGATTAATACAAGGAAAAGTATTCACACAGTTCAAGGAGTGTTTAAACAGATATGTGAAATTGTTGGCTCCAGATCTTAATGGAGTGGTTAGAAGAATAGAAGGAACTGGGAAGAGAATCAGAGGACCCGCAGATGTTGGTATAATAAGTTTATCATGACACACCCTCTGATCCTTAGAAACCTAATGATACAAATCACAGCTCCAAGTGGGCGTTTTAGCTAAAAAGGTTTGTGCATTCCCTGAGGAAGCAGCTGTGAAATGCAACACTGAATCACGTTTCCTTACTTCATGAACTCTTGATCCATGAAGATTTTCTGGGATTTTTTTTTGCAAAACACATAGTTTAGGATAAAACCAAGAGCTGGAACTGGAAAGAATAATCTGTTATTTTTCTGGAGCTGAGGTAAAGGGGCTCAGGTTAAAACCTCATCAGTCTGCTTAGATTTTATGCCTGAAATGTGTACTCTATTTTTTATTATTTTTTTTCCAAATTTTCCTTGTCGCTAAAAAGAAAGTGTATCGACATGCTCTAATATTTACATACACTTTGTGTGTGTGCTGTTCCCAGTCACAAAATGTCCATGCTGGCTTTCTTGCTGAAGCAGCAAGATGTGCTATATGGATGAGGTGGAGCGAAAAGAGAGAAACATGATATATGCTACTACTGGAATAATAATTTTTATCTACTGACCTTGGTATTTTAAAACATTGCTTTAAGAAGTACCAGATATACTTAAAACAGTAACATGTAGAATATCAAGCCCATAACTAATCAAGATTCCATTCTACAGATACTGCAATAGATATATCGTTGCTATGGAAATGCAGGTGGCATTTTCTGATGAATTACATTAAAATTGCTAATACTATACTTAATGACTGCCATTAACAGTTTTTTTCACATGTACTTATAAAGATAGTCTGTGTCATCTGCTCTGGGTTAATTTAATTTGAATAAATATCATTTGGCCATATAAAACATTTTATTTAGCTAGCCTACTAATACTCTATCTGAAGTTTTCCTGTGGGTGATAAGTGATCATTTTTATCCCTCATACCATTACAACAAAGGATTCTGTTTCTACCTCGTCTACATCTTCTCTGCTAGCCTTTTGGGAAGAAGTAAGTTTTTGCTAGTAGTTTTGTCTCCTTATTTTGTTGTGACCTGTCATAGTGAAAATGGCCTTCTAAAACTAGATATTTTGCTTCCTTAATCCACTAAATAGAGCTAGTTTAGTTTTCTTTTAATACCTCTTTACAGGCTTACTATTTTATATTTTGACTATTTATACAGCTAAAGCTGAATCACACTTAGCATTGGTAAATAGTTCATATTAAATAATGGTACGATTTGGTTGTAACTGGCCCAGCCCTACAAATCAATTCATAACAAAAAAAAATGACAAATATCTGAACATATTCAGTGAGCTAACTGAACTTGAGCCATCTTTCTGTCTAAACTGGCTGGGAAGTGAGTGATTCATTACTTGTTGTCTCTAGTACTAATTACATCATTGATGTGAAGTCTAATCTGATGTTTGTTAATCATGATTTTTATGATGTCCTCAGAGTACAGTAATACAGTATCCTACTTCCACACCCAAATTCTTTAGCTCTGGAATTGTAGCATACTTCCCCCTTGTGCTGGCAATTAGTAGTTGCTAATGTAAGTGTGAAATTAATAGAAGACTTGTAATGGATGCTGGTCTTAAAGTTTGGTGAAATATAAGGCAATGTGATTAAGTAGGCATGGTTCTTTTAATGACAGAGGCCAACCATTTTTAAACAACTTTTTAAAAGACTGCATAATACTACTTTAAGAATTTTTCTTGTGACAGAATTGCTGGCTGCTGTGTGCTAGAAAAATCCTAGCGTAGTAAGCTACCATGAGAAATAAGCTGATTTATGGATGATTGCCAAGCTTCTCAAACATCCTTCCATACCTGTGTGCAAGAGATTAGACACAGTCTCACTGGGACAAGGCCATTACAGCATTTATGCTGCCTACTATGAGGTTTTGCATTTCAGTACTTCCAGCTTTGCAGCTTTTCCATCAGGTGGCAGGGTTTGTTTTGAGGAAAGATTTTTTTTTTTTTTTTTTTTCCCCAGAGTGGAAAGTTGGTAGATGTGTGTACTGCATATAGAAATCAGCCTTGGTTTTTGTTTCCATTTTGTTGATGTGAGAACACTTCATCAGATCTGTGGTGTTCTAACCTAACATGTTTGCTATCGCTTTTACAGACCAGTTCTATTAGTGAGCAGGAAACGCACGGTCCCAAGTCAGAAGTTTCACCATCTACTTCAGTTGTAACTGCAGAGCAACAACAAGAAGTAAGAGAGCCGTTATTTTACCCTGAAGAGTAATTCACTAGGAAGTCTTTCTGTCTTGTTCATGATAAATATGTATTGCAGCATTCATTATGAAGAAGCAGGATTGAATGTTGCTTATTTGCAATGTGTCAGTGTTAATTGCACCTGCTTTGAGGACAGTTGCAAATGAAACCTTTTTGCTGGCTCTGTGTATGTTGATGTACCTCATTTTCATATGTTTTCTGTATTGCTGCTTGTTTGTTAGTGTGCAGGCTTTCCTGTGAGTGCTTTAAAACACAATCTGTTTCTATTAAATCAGAATGGCGATGTTTATGTGACAATTAAATTTTTGATAATTTTCAAAAAAGGAAAAAAATTAATCAGAAAACAATAAGCTTTGCCACCCCGAGTCTGAAACAAATTCTTGAAGCCTCATTTTGCTCAATTACAGTTTTTTGTGATTCAGGAACCAATTCGGCTTCAGAGGATGCCTGCTGCTCCTTCCCCCACCATTCAATCCATTTCTCTAGCTGTACCAAAGGTAGGGGGACTGTGCTAACCTTATTCTAAAGAACAAAGGAAAAGAATATCATTTATAAATTAGCTCTCCATGTTTGTTCTTGTCCTGTTTGGGTTTGTCATGTGTTTGTTTGTTAGGTCTGTGTTTTTAATCTAATGTTTCCAAATGCAAGTTGATGGGTTTTGATTTGTCAGAAGGGATGACAAAAAATAGTTGGCTTAGGTTTGGGTTTGAGTGTCTTACACAGTTGGACATAAAACACTTACTGTTGTCTTGCAGCACCTTTTATAAGCTGCACTTACTTAAAAGAAGCCCAGGTTTCATCATGTGTGCTCTGATATACTGGAGGGTGGCGAAGGGAGATGCTTGCATTACATAAGTACAGGAAGTGAAAAGTTTTTTTTCTTTTTTTATCCTGAATGTATCTTTCAGCCTAAAGCTCACCAGCTCAATATCAAGTCATTTACAAGCCCTACTCAGTGCAGTCATTGCACCTCTCTTATGGTGGGATTGGTTCGACAAGGTTATGCCTGTGACGGTGAGTTAAACTTTTTACATTTCCAGCAAGTCCCTGAAAAAGTCATCCCAAAGCATGCATTTTAAGGCAATCATTTCCTTGGAGAGGGAATGAGAGAGAGGGGTGACTGCCACTGAATGGTTCTCCTTTCTTCTGCAACATCACCAGACTTCTAAAGTCACAGATTTAATATAAGCCCTCATGGTTCCCTTTCATGTTACTGATTAATTCTGCCACCATTAGTGCTGTTATAGTATGAGTTGGGGGGGAGGCAGGGAAGGCAGGAGTGTTTTCTGGTTTTGTGGTGGAGAGGACTATGGGAATGCTCTGGTAACATGAATCTGAGTCTATTTTGTGCTATCCTGATCATAAACCCCATATGTTGGGAGGACTATTTGCTAGATTTTTTGGCCTGTAGCCCATCTTGCTGTCCATTAGTTTTATGTAAAATGCTTTCTCTGATGCATGTGTCACTATTGAATTCCATATAGATATATCTTGATTAGACACATGAACTCAGTAAGTAGTCCACAAATCTGTTGAAGACACTGCAGTATAAATAACCTTATTGTATTTCTCTGGCCAGCTTAGTTCTTGCTAGTGACACTCTCTCCACTGACACCTTCAGTATCATATTCAGATTGCCTCATCTGCCCTTCAGGGCTTTTTTCCTGGCAGATCTTCTGGTGGCGGTTCTTCCCCAGGGGCACCTATTGCTCTGCCAGCACTTGCCTTGGGGCTGCCTTTTGTCTCCTGTTGCTGACAGTTCTGAACTCTCGTTTTGCATCTCTTCCTGCAAGTTTGAAATGGTCTTTTTCCCTCAGTGTAGCTATCAACTTTGCTCTTTTTTTTCTTACGGTTTTTGATTAAGCTCTGCATCGTTAGTTTTCCAGTTTGCCTCTTCTACTCCAGAACTTGATAGCTACAGAAAAAAAATAGAATCACATTGATATAAGAATAGAGATGACTCCAGTAAAACAAAACTTGCCCATGTTCCACTCCCAATCACTTCCTTTTCCCAGTTCCTCCTCTTTTTAATGCTGGAAGCTACGGTAAAATACAGCTGCACTTCCAGAGGCCTGTGGAACTGGCTGTGGTTAGGAGGAAGCACAGGGGAGATCACAGTGCCGTGCTGCTCTCCCGCTGCCTTCCCAAGCCTGCTGGTAGAAACAGGGTGGCTGGGACAAACCAGGCAAAATATCTGTGGAAAGATCTGGCCCATAAATTGTGGGTCGGATGCCTCAGTATAACATGTTAATTCATTCCAGAGTTCTTTTAGTCTGTCTCATGTGAAGTGGCATATATTCTGAGGGTTTTTTTCTGTGCAGTGCTTCTGTGTGAAGTGCTCTATGGGCAAGAGACCTCTGTCCCTTGCTGGTGCAGCACAAAGTGGTGCAAAGTGGTGTAAATGGTAAGAAGGAATGCAACAATTAATGTAGACCGTTTGCTCCTTATTTGAACTCCATCACCACACAGCATTTCAGTCCTTGTCCCCTGTTTTCTACTTTATTATGCTTTCTAGTCTATTGCCTGTGTTTAATAGATTAACCCATTCTGGTTGGTTTTGGTCAGCTTAGTTTTAGTTTGTCTTTGCAGTATTCTTGCATACTTGGATCAAATTAAACACCTACTGTATTTATCTTATCTCCTACCACTGCCCTGTAATTTTTATTCTTCCTTTATTAATACTTTTTCTCTTCTGTGACTGGGTTAGTTGCTACTTAATACCAGTGAGGCTGACCAACACCTTTTCCTTCAGGAACGTGCTTTCATAAGTTGCCTTGAAATGTGGACTAAGTCCCTGCCCTTTATGGAAGTAATAGGTTTAAAAGAGAAAATAAAAGCACTTTGAAGAGTCTCATACAGTATTTAGGTGTGTTCGCTGCTTTAGCATAGTGGGCTATTATAATATTTGACTGCCAGTATCAGTGTGATTAATTAATTTGCTGAGCATCAGTGTAGACTATGTTAATCTCCTGTTATGACTGAATCATACACGCATTTCATTGTGAATTTTCTCTTTTGTACTTAGTGTGTTCATTTGCATGCCATGTTTCCTGCAAGGATAGCGCACCTCAGGTCTGCCCTATACCCCCTGAGCAAGCCAAAAGGCCTCTTGGAGTAGATGTGCAAAGAGGAATAGGAACCGCCTATAAAGGTTATGTCAAGGTAATAGTCTTTTGTTCTTGGACAAGAGAAGAATACTAAATTTCACTTACAGCTGTGCAGCTTGGAACCTCTAAGTATGTTTAAACAGATCTCCTAAATTGTGCTCAAGCCTTAAGGCTTTGTGTGCTATCTATGTAACTTATTTAACCTTCGTTGCTCTAGATGTGGGAGAAACGGTTGGTTTTACTGCAAGAGCTAAAGGTTAGTAGATTAGTAGCTACAATGTTCATAAGCAGCGGGGAGGGTAGAGGGGGGAAGCATGCTTTAAGGAAGAATTTCTGTCATTGTTCATGTAAGCATAATAGAAAAGGTAAACTGTCCTACTATTTTGGCATTTGTGGAATATACAAGCCCCATTGTTTGTCCTAATATTACCTAATATATTTATTAAACTGTAACAGGGAATGGTTGAAAAGTGAGGAAAAATGATTGCTTGATTACTTGACATTTTTCACTCTGTTTTGAAGGGCAAGTAGAACGTATTCTAATTCTGTTGATCCTAAGTGTAAACTTTTCTAAATGTCCCTGCTTTCTGTGTTTACTGCATGTGCTTACATTTAATAAGCAATCAGTTATTTATACGCAGGTCCCAAAGCCTACAGGAGTTAAGAAAGGGTGGCAGAGGGCTTATGCAGTTGTCTGTGACTGTAAACTGTTCTTATATGATGTGCCTGAAGGAAAATCCACCCAGCCTGGAGTTGTTGCAAGTCAAGTCTTGGATCTCAGGTTTGTACTAGTATGACAGAGTAGAAATCCTCTGTATTTCTTCCCTAACAAGTATATTTATTTATAGCACACAATAAACTTTTAGATCATGAGAGCTCTGGTCTGAGAATACCTGTGTGTTCTGAATATAGACTGCAGCTAAGTTTATGCTGAATGAATTGGCTCAACGGGAAGTCATGTAAGTGACTGTATAGTCACTCATATTTACAGTGTTACCATGCTTATTCCTAGAATTCCATATGCACACATGGAAAACAAGTAGACTTTGGTATATTGGTTTTTCCCCTGCACTCTGACCTCAGTGGTGAGTCACAGATCATCCCATAGCCAGTAATTTCAGGAACATTAGAAAAACTGTAGTAGTCTTCAGAAAAGCACCAACTAATTTACAATGCAAGTGAATCTGACCCTGCCTTCTCACAGGAGTTATTTTTTCGTGGTGAACCATTTGAACCACAGAACACTGTCTACAAAAGATCTGAGACTTTCATTGATCAGAGTAACCAAGAAGGTTGTTGGTTGGGGTTTTTTTAATTCCAATTTATGGAAATATCAAGGAAGTGTAACACTTTTTATTGTTACAGCACCTTCTGTCTCTGTTGAATATGAAGTTTGCATTCACAAGCACCTCGATTTATATTTTTTCTAGGCAGTAGTACCATGGGGTTGCACCAGAACTGTTGTTCTGTTCTCACATTTATTCTCTGAGAACCATCAGTGTCAGTTCTCTCTGAATTGCTGGCAGTGGGAGCGGAAACATGGATGTATTGCAAATAACAGCATTCACGTCAGTACGTTGCTCGAAGCAACTCAGCCAGATATTATACCAGCTGTCCCATACTTCATCTGCTTATTGTAGCTGCCTCTTTGAGTCTGTCTTCTGAGGATTCTTAAATGTTTTAATAGACATTAACCACCGCACCTATGAATTCTAGCATCGGCAAGTTTCAGGCATCGGTGTCATCCTCACACTAAAATTGGCAATTATGGTGATCAACTTGGTCAAATTCAGTTTAAAAAGGCTTGTGTAGACAAGCCCTCTGGGGCGGAGCACTCTGAAATGCAAAAGTTGTTCTGATGTCTGTTTATTTTACTGTAATAGAGAATAAAATCTAGTTGTTTTGAAAACCTTTATTTGAATCCCACAAACTATAATTACATTGCCAAGAGCTTTTTATGTGATTTTTCTTTTTTTCCAAAGGCCCCTCTCTTGCTACACATTGAGGTATGAATTATTCATTTCTAATGTGTCTGCTGGGCTGGAAGAGCAATATTCTTGCTGCTAATTGTAGAATAGGTGTGGTTGGTAAACCAAAACTACACAAAGCCACCCCAGTTAACTTCAGGTGGACCGAGTTACACGTACTGAGTGCTGTAGAAACATAACTAAAGCTTGTGAGTCGTTTGGATCAAGGGTGGTTAGAGCATAACAAAGCAGTGATGGCAGTTGTGACCTCTGTGCAGTGTTAGGAGATTGCAGCCTGTTGGAACAGTTGTGATATCAAGTAGATTTTGCTGAATAATGTTAGTGTGTAGCATGGATGTGATTCTCTTGCTCTCTTTCTTACTAGAGATGAAGATTTTTGTGTGAGCTCTGTCCTAGCATCGGATGTAATACATGCGACTCGTAAAGACATCCCTTGTATATTCAGGGTATGATTACCAATTTACTCTTAAAGAAAATACAAGTTAAATACAGTGTTTTGTTTTCATAGTGAAGTATGTTATTCATGTTTAATGTTTATTAAGTCATGCAAAAGCATAAGAATTTACAAGGGGTGCCAAAATGTGTAGAAAAACAATATTCTACTCCTCTTATAACTGAATTGTAAAGAACAAATTTTTGCTGCTTCCTTTATATATAAAGTTTGGTGCTTTTTTATTATAATTCAATTGCTTTAAAATAGTTTCGTCTCCTCTTCCACTGGTATTACCAGAACCCTTTTTTTCCATCTTAGTTTTGGAGGACTCTAGTTTTAGGAACTGATGCTGTAACAAAGTAGGCTGAAGCTGGGTTGTGCTTATTGATTTTAGTTTGCCATGTATTGTCTTGTATAAAAAAGCACTAAATTCGAAATTTCAATTTCCTTAATTTCATATTTAGGTATTGCAGAAAAAATTCAGAATAAGAGAAAATAATTACCTTAGTTATAATCTCATCTTGGTTGTATGTTCTATCCGAGTGCTGTATTACCTAGTTTTTAACAACAGAAACTTCTTCCCTAAGAATTTTATGTGAATTATATTTAATCTGGAATTTTAAAATACAGAGAAGAGTATATTAATAGCCAATATCTACAATCCCTTGCATTTGAATACAGAAACTCATTGTTTTCAGCATCTCTGATGTCATTTGGAATCGAATCAATGGAACATGGAAGCCAGAGACCTGACAGTCGCATGCAATCCCAATCATTTAGTCCTTTAGGGTTTTACTTGGCTTATGTCTTGGCTACTTGAATGCTTCTATGACTTTGCTTTTCTGCTTTTTTTATAGAAATATTTTCTGCAGTGGATTTTCATCCTTCAGTTTTCTACTACTTTTTACCTTCATTTTCATCTCATTTCTAAATGGTTTTGTTGGGGTTTTTTTATTCCCATCTGCCTGCTCTTTTCTCAGATGAGCAAAGGTGGAATACTATGGGAAAGGACTTCTGAGGAGAGAAAATGAGCTATGCAGAATGGTGGTTGATTCGTTTAAGAACAAGGCATCCATACAGTTTAGCCTGCCTGACTTGCTGCTCTAATTTCTGCCTGCAGTTTTTAACTGAAAGGGTATCTAAGGAAAAAAAAACTTTTGTCAAATATCCCCATGTAAGAATACTTGTTTGGATAGACATGACAAAATGTCTCCACGGTTTGATCAGATTATACCCTGCTAAAGAGATTTGATGAATTAACTAGAAGCCTGGTGTGTGAGTATATCTATTTAGATACCCTGTTGACAGGGACCAGAGAAGATGCTGCCAAAGTCTATCTCTTTTCTCAGTTTTATGTCCTTCAAAAGAAGGAATTTCTAAAACTGGAAACCAGTAATTTCTGATGCAAGGGACACTATTTTCTCAATTCTATTTAATTCTACATTTGCATCTTGCTGACATAATGACGTAAAGTGGCTTCTACACAACAGCTAAAACTGTTACTTCACATCATCTGTGTAAAAATGTGGTCCTTCTTTCCTATGTGTTATTTCACATAACGTGATGATGTCAGTGGCCCACCAAAGACAGATTGTCATTTCTTTTGGATCTTCCACCAGCAGAAAGCAATACCAGAATGCTGCCAAACACTAAAATATTGCCACTTCTGACCCCCCAATGAAATCAAGAAGAGGAAGAACTTGTCTCAGACTCAGAGATGTCTCAACATCTCTCCTTGGTAATCAGATTTTAAACCTGGATGTTAGGCTGTCCTGGCATCCAGACACTGCAGTCTAAGTGCTGCCATCGATACGTTTTTAAAAATAGTGTGAGAGTGTCTGTAGTGGAGTCCTTCCACAGTAGCAGTTTGAGTTAAGAAGCCTTGGGTTTCATAGCAAATATTCATGGATTTTTGTATGATGAATAATGCTAGGTATATTATAACCAACTTCTCCCATTTTGTCCGCATTTGACTGCATGTAAGATGCCACCTTCAAAAGACTGAGGAGTAATAAATGGTGGTACTTCAAAGGGAAAACCATAGCTGAAGTCTGATTTGGTTTTCTTTTTGTTTTCAAGTTTAAAAATATTATCCATTATGCCACCATCCATCTTTAAAATATTAATGCTTAGTTATAGTTTAGACATGAACAAAGCTTGATGCAGAGTAACAGGAGCTATGAGCAATTGCAGTTGCAAACGAGTCGGTTCTTTTCCTACTGCTCTTCACTTTCATCTTACTTCAGGAGTTCTGTCTTTGACATCCTATTGTCCCAGGTTTACTTTCAGATGTATTTTTTCTTTAAGATTAATGTTATTGCTTAATTCACTCTTTCAGGAAGTGTATGTTGCGTAACCACATCATCCATCTTTGTGGTGATTTTCTTATCAAGGCGTATAGGCTGAAGGGGTGTTATGCCATGTATGAATACTTACAGCCTTCAGTTTTGCACTTTTGCACCTTTTGCTGCTTTTTTCTGTTTATTGTTATTCTAAAAGTCTGTTGTGAGGGCTGATACCTGCTGATGACCTGTTTGTGGCTAAAAGCATAGTTCCCGTGATCTCACAACCCTTCGATCTCTTCATACAGAACACAAAATTAACATTAAGAATTAGTAAATGCATACTTCGGGTAACAGAAAGTTCCTGGATAGTTCTTCTATTCAGAACAGAGATCTATAGGACGATTTACCTGAAAATTAAGTGAAGCCATTGTGATTTTCTTTTAACATGGGGAAGTGGGAGAATATTTCAGTCTCAAAAGATTATTTTCCTCCAGAGCTTTTAATGCAGATATGATGTGCTCCTTCCCCTGGACAAATACTTTGAAAATTAAGTAGCAAAATCAAAATCTAGAACCGATCATAGCAATGCCATTGGGTTTAAATGCATCTGACTCAGAAAGCATGTGTGTCATTTTCAGTAAGATTTTAAAAGATGGTGAGGGAAGAGCTCGGGACAAATTATGGCATGCTACTGTCATTCCAGTTCAGAGCAGGAAGGAGCCTTTTGCTGGCATATATTGCTTATTGTAGGAAAGGAATGTAATGTTCCTTGCCCATATTTTAGGATTCAGAATGATTAAGCAAGACTGAGTATTTTTAAACAAAACCACTGAGGCTTGTGCATTTTTTCAAAGCACTGCGGCCATATCAGCTGCGTGCTGTGTTGCGTACCACTCGAATACATCATCACATTGTTATGACAAAGTCTGTTTTACTTTTACGGTTCTGTGAGGTATATAATACTGACAAAAAGGACTTTTATTACTCTTATTAATTTTGCTTTCTCTGTGTGTTAAAAGGTGACAGCTTCTCTCTTAGGTTTGCCTTCAAAGTCTTGTTCTCTACTGATCCTGACGGAAAATGAGAATGAGAAGAGAAAGTGGGTTGGAATCCTAGAAGGGTTGCAGTCTATCCTGCACAAAAACAGACTGAAAAACCAGGTTGTACATATTCCACAAGAAGCCTATGACAGTACACTGCCTCTTATTAAAGCAAGTTTAGCTGCTGCTATTGTAGGTATGTTTGTTTTCGCTGTTAGAAGTGTGTGAGGGTTGTTGGAGCTTTTAGATGGGCTTCTGTAATGAGAGCACTGACACCTTGAAATAAATTCCTCAGCTGAATTCCTTCATAGGAATTTAATAATGGGGAGAAAATGCTTATCTTGCATTGATACTCAAATTTCTTCATCCACTCTGAGTAAATAATACCATTTAGTTGTTTAACAGGTTGTTTCAGGAATATGGTATATCTCTTCCATAGCATGCTTTTGACTGCGTGACTGTATGAACTGCATGAGCAAAATTGATTTGCTGTTGAAAATCCATTTGTCCAGAAATTTTTCCAGCTGTTCAAAGCAAACAGTCTGTTTTAAAGATAAGATTAAGTATAGCTGAATTAATAGCCTTTTTTCTTCCTTCCTGGTTTAGATCGAGATAGAATAGCAATTGGTTCAGAAGAAGGACTGTATGTGATAGAGGTGACCCGTGACGGTAAGTTAGGCCATAATGCATGCAGTAATTACATACAGAATAATGAGCTCCATAACTTTTAGTGCTGTTATAATATAAGCCCTTCATGTATAGTAAGTATTAAGCACTCAGTTAATTGATGAGAAGGAGAAGTGAATGTGAGATGTAAACACTAATTTGGTCATTATCATTACATTCAGTTGACTGGCTGAAATTGAAGGGATGGGTTACTGGGCATATTCTGACACATTGTCACCTTAACTGTGTTCCCACAGCAGGTAGCAAAATGCTTCAGCACACAGAGCACGTGCAGCACACACAGCAGCAGTTGATGCATAGTGAATTATCAGGCACTTACTAAATAGAACTTGAATTGAGTGAGGAAAAACTCGACATAGGAACAGGCTTGCTTCAACCTACACCATCAGAGGACTTAAACTACTGTGAATTAGAAGTTAGGCAGTGCAAGCAACACAAGACTTTCCATTAAAGCTGCCATGTATTATTGTCTGTTTCTTCCAGAAATTTGATGACCACTCACATTCTGTTTCAGACCAATGGTGGCCAAAGCAAATGCCTTGTTGCCCCTTTCCATTATCTCTTTACTTCCCTGACCCCGTGCTTCTTTCTGAACCTGCTTTCTTGATTCTGTTCTGAATACACTCTGCCCTCTGCTTTGGGAAAAGTGGAATCAGTTTAGCCTGTTCTTTCTGAAGATTTACCATGTCCATTCCAGAAATTCACACAGGTACCACAGCAAAGTGTATACTGCGTAGTCACTGCGCAGCACAGGCGTACCCCTCTGTCGTTGAATTATTAGGCATCACAGCATTTTTCCCTTTGACCTGGTACGCTGAGCACAGCTACAGATAACAGTGGGAGACATGCCTTGGTGTGGTGGGCAAAGTGTGGAGGCCGAAAGGATTACTAGCACATGAGCATGGGGCTTGTTTGGGGTCAATCCATGCCAAATGCAATTTTAAACATCAAAAAGCAAAGAACAAGTTTGGTTAATTTTGCCATCTGCTTCCAAAATAAGACACTCTTATTTTGACAAACAAATGAACAAAAAAATGAAACAACTAGCTGAGTTAAACCAAATTTATAGAAGTAATGTATTTCTAAGAAGCAATGCAGATGTAAAATGCAATAATCTACTACTGTTTATCCTCTTCCAAGTTACCATAGGAAATACTAGTTCGTTCTTTCTGTCTGACTTCAAAAGCATCAAACACACCTTGTGAAATCGATGCTTGCTTGTAACTCCTGAGGCACTCTAAATTTAGACAAATCTAAATCCATGCTTTTTGGGGTGTGAGAGCTAACAGCCTTGGTACTCTGGTAGGATTGTTTCCAACATTAATGCCTAATGCTTTCTTCATCTGTATGTGTAACCTCTGAGCTTATGTTCTTCTGATGTCTTTATCTGGGAGTTAAGGATGTTGAGATCAGTGATATAGATTTGTAAAATTAAAAGGGTTTTGGGTCCCTTTTCCAACTTTGGAAAAATTACTGGGACAGTCCTGAAATATTCCTTTGACTCTTTTTACTTATTGCCATTCCAATTTCAAAGAAGAAATTTCTTTAAATTTAGACTTAATGGAAGAATTTGAATTTGAATTTTCAATGCAGTTTAGCTTGTGGCTATTTGAAGTTTGGATTGCAGTCATGCTAAAATTTGCATTTCGATGTAAAGTAAAGCAATGAATACAGGTTCTTAAAGAAGTGATTTTCAAAAAATCAAATGAAGTCAGGGATGTAGTTTTGTGGCAAAAAGCAAAATCTTATTGCTTCCTCTTGCTTAGAATAAGCCATTGCCCAATTCCAGGAGAAACTGCAGATATTTGAAATTCTTTTTAGCAGTGATAAATGCCATTCCTTTGAGTAAACTTCCAGTGATCACCACTCTGTAAGTACTTAGATATAAACATAACTTTAGATGGAAGTAATTCCAGAGATTCCAGTACAGCTTCTTGCATAAAAGCAAATTATACATTTAATTCGAAAGGTCATTTCATAAAGGAACAATTATCTGCATCACCGTGTCATATATAAATGTGAAAATGTATTATCAATTTTGGTTTTAAGTTAAGAGATACTTTGCAGGAGTTTTCTATGGCCAGTTCTGTGAGTTAATAGCATTTTTATAAATCGTAACCTCTTTTTCATTTTATGGCAGTTGTAATTTTCAGTGTTAATTAACTGCCAGCTGCTTATATCAAAGGTCTTTGGTCAGAATATCACTTACTTCTTGACGAATAAACTAAACTGTAAGCTGCGGTTGGAACTTTGCCACAAAGATCCCCCCCGCCCCTCTAGCTCCAACAGCTGGTTATTTCATAGAACATTTCTTCAGACATATCATATATCTGTGCAAGTGGGGGGATGCCACAAAAGCACTTGGCTTTGTGATCTGAACAGCTAATGTCTTGTTACAAAGTTTACAGAATTTGGTAACTTGACTAGATTACTCAACTATTTCTGAAAAAATGGATATCATTTCCAGTTAATATTTTTTTAATTATAATTCACAAATGTTTTGAATGCATTCAGCTAACAGAAAAATGTAAGTGATGTTTTAATATTATTGGCTTATGTGTATTATGTTTCCTCATTTGGAATTGCTTCATCTCTTCTATTTGTGCCCCATGAAATACTCACTACTTTCTTGAAACTGCCTGTATACCCACAATCCCAAAAGCAGGTTTTTTTAAAAAAACCCTTCAAACAGTGAAACTCCCCAGTTTCCATGGGTAGCCTAACTAGTCCTTGCTGTGAGAAGGCTTTTCCTGGTGAAAAAGCTCTTCCTACAGCTTAAGCCCATTCCTTTTTATCCTTTCCCCATGACACACAGTATTTTTTGCCTTTCCATATAGGTGTTTAACACCCACCTAGTGTGCTGCTCTTGTACTTGGCTGAGACATTTGCCAACAGTACAGCATTTGGTATCCTCAGTTATCAGCACTAAATACTTTGTTTCTTTTCTTTGTGTTGTGTGAATTTGGTCTTCCTCCATAATTTACTGAAGATGCTCGTATTTTCCTGAAGGTGGGACCCTTTTCAGAAGATAGAGTATCTTGCAGTGTATAGATAGTACAGATATTATTATATAAAAAATTTCTCGATTTTTCCCAGGTGTGTAGCAGCCTTTTCCTGCAAAGTGTTGCTGAGGCTTTGTATCAATAGAAAGAGTTACAGGAATGCTTTGTTTCATTGTTTGCTCTGAGAATTAATAACAGAGCATCGAGCATGTGTAATAAGTGCTCTTTCTTATCTGGTATGTGTCTGCGTTTAGATTCATTTTCAGACATCAGTATGTAACACTGCAATGCTTCCAGGCCTGATGGTTTTCTTGTTTAACTTACGGCAGCTCTTGTTTCCTTTGCAGTGATAGTCCGAGCTGCTGACTGCAAGAAGGTTTACCAGATAGAGCTTGCTCCCAAAGAGAAAATTATCATCCTCATCTGCGGTCGGAACCATCACGTTCACCTTTACCCCTGGGCCTCTCTGGATGGGTCGGAAGGAAACTTTGACATTAAGCTTGCAGAAACTAAAGGCTGCCAATTGATTACAACTGGAACACTAAAGAAGAGTTCTTCGACTTGTTTGTTTGTGGCTGTCAAACGACAGGTTTTTTGCTATGAAATTCACAGAACTAAACCTTTCCACAAAAAATTCAATGAAATTCAGGCTCCAGGAACTGTACAGTGGATGACAGTGTTCAAGGACAAGCTCTGTGTTGGCTACCAGTCTGGGTTCTCTCTGTTGACCATCCAGGGAGATGGACAATCTATAAACCTGGTAAATCCTAATGACCCCTCGCTTATCTTCCTCTCACAGCAGTCTTTTGATGCCCTTTGTGCTGTGGAGCTCAGTAATGAGGAATACCTGCTTTGCTTCAGCCATATGGGAGTATACGTCGATTCGCAAGGTCGAAGGTCACGCATGCAGGAACTAATGTGGCCTGCAACTCCTGTTGCCTGTAGTATGTATATGTTTTTCTGTTGCCATATCCCTGTTGCTGCTTTACTTGTCTAAAAATAATCAGCGTTGTATTCTATTTTGCTTCGGTTTGTCTTGCAATATCTACAGTTTAAGTTTTGATGAGTTAACAGGATATATAGTTCTCCCTAATAGTAGTTTTGGACTTGGCCATCTCTTGGGCTGAGATCCTGGATGCTGCAAGAAGAGAAGCGCTGTCTTGTTACAGAACACAGAAGAACGAATAATGGAATACAAAATAACTTTTACAGAGAGTGGTGCTGGATGCAGGACAGTGCAAGACTACCGGTCTGTGGAATTCTGTGAAGACTTTTGCTCCCCTAAAGAGTGTAGAGTTCTAGTTGTCTGTAGGATGTCTAGAAAGTTGAAGAAGAAATGTAACTGCCACTCTAAAGGTTCATAAATATAACAAAATAAGAGGTAAAAATATTGCTTTTGACAGAACTGGTAGCAATTTTTCTCCTTTTGGTTTTATTTTTAGGGGGGAAAATTTCCAAAAATAACATAGGCAAGTGGAGGGTAATTTTTCAACTGCTCTGCTTGTTTCAGGAGCATTGGTTTATCAGCTACTTAGGATAGAAGCACATGCAGAGCATTTTTCGGTATTCGGTTGTTGAAGGCAGTTCATGATAAAACTGGGATTTCTGTTTGGAGCTCAAATAGCAATTAAAATGTTTTGAATGATTGAAGGCAAGAAATAGCTTTTTGTTGAAATAGTACAGCGAACAGTTAGGTGCGTGTTGGTTTGATCAGGCCCTAATAGCAGTTTGTTTAATTTTAATTGTCTTGAACTGAAATTGTTTGCTTACTTTACTCTGACCTAGTTCTGTACAGAACTCTGAAGCAAAGGCCCAAGGAAACAATGTAGTTGCAAATTTACTTTAAAACACCATTAGCCAAAGCTAATGTTTCCTTTTCCTTTATCAGCTTTACAGTTTTTTGCATTTCAGCAAACTAGGCTTGCTAGTTAATGGTTTTGTCTCTTATTATTAGAAGCTGTTCTTACTGTAAACTATTTTATAGCATTCTTGTGTGTGCAATCCTGAGTGGCATTGGCCTACGGCTGTTTTTGTAGAAAGAGCAACTTTTTCCACTGCCAAAGGAAACTGGAGTACTTCCCTTTTCATTAGCCTTGTCCTCCCTCCTCAGTCCTGGGGTCTGTCACTAGCGATGGTGGCGCTTTTTTAACTGTCCCATCAGGAGATCATCAAAGTGGAAATGGCTCCCCCCGTTGCAGTTTCTGCTGTGGTAAAGGACCATGTTGTAGAGCAGTTTTAAGATACAATGGAGAATTTGTCTCAAGGGCATTCAGTCCTCTCACGCTAGGAGAGGCCAAGGTCAGCTCTGTAATCTCAGGTGGCCTGCCTAGGTTGCAGTTAAACCAGCTTAATGTGCTGGTTCTGTGCTGAGTCAGTGTAGGCGTTGGGGGGCTGCTTAGCTTGAGTATGGCACAGTGCAAAGACTTGGAGCCAGCAGGTCTTGAAGCTGGAGCATGGGCAAGCCCAGTGCAGACATTGACATGCCTCTGGGAACCAGCTGAGATCTGACCAAGCTCATCAGCTCTGACTGGTAGGTGCTGGCCTTTGGCTACAAGCTGGCTGGGCAGAAGCAGTTGGTGTTTCTGTCTGATGCTCGGTGGTCTCCCTTGATGTGGACATCAAATACTTGACCATAAATCACTTCTGGGATACATATTTATGACAGCTGTCCAAGGCTTTCTGTGAACAAGTTTAAAAAATAGCACCACAACCATTACTTCAGTTCTTTTAAGAAGATTCTGTGATGTGTTTAGTGTCCTACTGGGCTATTTTCCCTTTGTTTATTGAAGCAACTCTTTTCTCTATTAAATCCCATAAATTTCTAGTAACAGCTCTTTATATCAGGATACAGTCTTTAGATGAGCAGAAGCGTGTTGATATGAAGCTCTAGGGATCTCTGCTTTTCATTTGACCTAAAATAAACTTGTCTCCTGATACCTTTTATGCTTTAAAAAAAAAAAAGTTGAAAAGAGAAAATGGGTTATGGGCTTTAAGCATCGTGACAATTTTCTGTTAACCTGATGAAAGCAACCCATACGTGAATATCTAAAGCTAGATAATTGTTAGCAAAAGAGGAAGGAAATTGAGAACAGATCCGCATCATGACTTCATGACCCACCTCACAGATGGTGGCCCTCTCTTTTCCCCTGCACACAGCAGATGTATAGTTAGTTTGCTGCTTCCAGAATGAAGTAATCTGCATCTGTAGAAGAGCTAGCTGCTCAGTTGCTACCAAGTAGCAAATTTGTATGCATCTGAAAACTTCAGATGCCATTTCACAATTTCATGAAATCATAATTTGAAGTTTAAAAATACTGAAAGGGTCAAATTTAAATCTTTCCATGATGCTGGCAGTTGTCGTTAGCAAATCTATTATCACCAGAATATCTGTTCGAAAGTGGGGCTGGGAAAAAGTATTTTAAAATGTATCTTGCACATAGTGAAAAGCTTGTAACTACTGAAATTTGCTCAAATATCTGTCAGTTCTGAACTACTGAAACCACATTAGGGTTTTCTGTTTGTTTTTAATCTATGCAGGTTGCAATTCTTCATACGTAACAGTGTATAGCGAGTATGGTGTTGATGTATTTGATGTTAACACTATGGAATGGGTCCAGACCATTGGCCTACGAAGGGTAAGTAATTTTCTTTGAATATAGAATTTTCTTTGTATGCTAGGCTTGTGTTAATTCTCTGCCTCTTTCCTCAAAACAGATCAGACCATTAAACATGGACGGCACACTGAATCTCCTTAACTGTGAGCCACCAAGACTAATATATTTCAAGAACAAGTTTGCAGGTGAGTACTGAGCAAGGAGAGAAATGGAAAATGATGCCAAGCCTAACTGGGTAGTTTTAAGCAATGTTACCTTTGCGTGAGATGAAACTTGTATTGGATGCATCTGGGTCAACATGTATCTATGTATGTGAAATTGTATTGTGATATTACAGCAGGAGCTGTCCTCAGCGTACCAGAAACGTCTGACAATAGCAAGAAGCAAATGCTTCGAACTAGGAGCAAAAGAAGATTTGTATTTAAGGTTCCTGAGGAAGAGCGATTACAACAAAGGCGGTAAGAATTTAATCGCAATATGTAACTTAATGTACATGATGACATGCAGAGACTGGGATTGCTAATAGCAAAATTCACTCTGTTCTTTTAGGGAAATGCTTAGAGACCCTGAGCTAAGGTCAAAGATGATTTCTAACCCAACAAATTTCAACCACGTGGCTCATATGGGACCAGGAGATGGAATGCAGGTTCTCATGGACCTCCCACTGGTAAAATACATTTGAAAGGGAGGGAGATATATGTCTATTTGTTCTTGCTCAGAAAAACTGTGCAGATGAGCTGTGTAGGGGTCAAGTATTACCTCTGTACCAAGTTATTTTTCTAATCGTTTTAAGAAAGGTGAACCTTCCTGATGTGCAATGCTTCTAAATCCTGTGCAAGGAAATACTGTTAGCTGACTTACAAATGAGACACTGAAAGAAACAGGTATCACTGCCAGGATCTTGTTAGTAGTTTTATAAATAATCAGTCTCTCCTCCTTCCTTTTTCTTGTTTGTCTTCTTAAAATAACAGAATGAATTTCCTTCCCCCTCATCCTCTCGACATTCTGCTCTGATATCACCTCCAACAGGCCTTGAGCACGTCTCTCACATGAGCCCTATCTCTGCTGAAATCTTTCTCCAGAGCGACCATTCCTCACTGCAAGGCTCCCCTCTGCTTTCTTCCTCTTCCTGTCCCTCCTCTGCTTCCCTAGCAAGGGTAGGAGTAGCTACAAACTGTTAGGAACTGGAATGGTGTACTTGTGGCACTTCGCCAATTCTAGAGCAAAAACAAGGGGGGAAAAACTAATGCTGTGGAGGTAACTCAAGTGCATGTAAGTTGCAGTGCTTTATAGCATTATTTTTTGTTATTTTGCATTTAACAAATACAGCGGTTTGTGAGCTATTTTAGTGTTAAATCCACGAGAGGAAGGTGCAAAGGTATGCTTTTCTGTTCTGTACCCTCTACTTTACAGCTGCTAGCCAGGCTTTCTCTTGTCCTTCTCAGCTAGCCCAGATGAGGGTAATGTGTTTGTCCGTTCAG